AATGCGCAAACGAAACTGGAAAAGGCAATAAGGGTAAAGAACTCGTTGATCCCTATCAACTCTGTTATCAGAAAATGTCAGTTATGGAACTTTGTAATCTCCGTAATTCCGGATCGTCGTTGTGATTAACCAATTTTTCGTTTTACAGGAGCGATCTCGAACCAAAAAGGATTTCATTCAAATGCCTATTCCGCATATTAGCGTTAATTTATGTATGGTAATACTTTCTATTGAGGCTGAATTATAACAGGTTTGAGAATCTCACCTTTGCTAAGAATAGATTTAGGTGAAAAAGGTAAGATTCCTCTAGTGAGTTTTGGGTCGAGCGATGTAATATAAATAAGCAGGTTTTTGAGAGAGTTTATCCTTACCTTCCCACGAATTTTTAGCACCTCTAATACTTGATTCGTTAAAGGTACGTGTTGCATACATTGAAGAATTTATCTATGGAAGCAGGGTTAACCATGCTAGCTCTACTAAAATCTAACTATGGATCTTTATTTTCAGGAAACGTAAAATGGCTGACATTACTCTTAATTGTCTCATCATCCCTAGTGGTTCGTTAAATATTCTTTCACGGCATAGAGTTGAGTTGAGAATTACAATTCCTAGGAATGCAACAGTTAATGCTTTTCAGATTGCGATTCAAAATGAGTTGGCGTCTCCATTTCAAAATATCCCTCTTGATCTTCGACAAATTTATTATCCTGGAAGTGTGGATGAAAGACGTATGCAACAACAAGCTTTGATCTCTGATTATTTTAATGGGAATCCTCCTGAAGATTTATTCCATATCATCGCATATCCCATACCACCTCCACCAAATAATTAAATTTTTTTCATCCATGTAATAGCGATATATATTTCGCAAATTTTATTTTTTGTATCTGCCTTACCACGGGCAAGTTTTTCGTAGAGGCCAGCCTCATTGCTCTGCAATAAAATAAACTAACTGCGCGTCATACGTCTATCTCATGATCAGTTCGTGTAACTTCCATCGCATGTATATAAACCACAGATTGAAAAAACAGATACGATAAAAATTTTCACTTGCATCGCATTGCCTAGCTTTTATTAGCGAGATACATAAACCAGATTTTGCAAATTTCCACGTATAAAAGTAACATGTCATCACACGCTTCTTCGCCTTCCTCACTGGCTTCTACATCCTCTACTTTGACGGAAGAAAGGTCAACTCGCACGATGGCGGACGTGGTAAAAGATCTAGACACGGAAGAGCTTATTGATTATTTACAAAGACGGGATCTAAAACTTATTGAGGCGGATTTCAAAATACTTCGCAATGAGAGAATAGACGGCTTATCTTTTTTGGAATTGACTAGAGAAGATTTTTTAAATTTTGGATTCAAAGGTGGCCCCGCTATTAAATTAGCAAAATTCATCGAAGAAATATCAGAACAAAAATTAAGAAGTTTCTCCTCCTACAAAACTCTGGAAGAGCTAAAGGACGTTCTCCGTAAATACAAAGTCAATGGAGAGGATATTACGAGTATCAAGCAATTCAACCCAGGTATGTAGTATTTCGATAGGTTATTTTTTTCTTGGCAAAAACAGTTCCCTCGGGGAACGATCATAAAAATTTCCAGATATAATAACTCGTTTTTTATGTTTATAGATTCCGTAAAAATTGATGATAATGACGAAGCCTTTAAGCACTGTGTGGCGGACATAATACTAATACTAACGAATATTGAGACGATGACCGATGCCAACGAAGCGACCCGCTGTGAATTTATTTCTTCCATCTTACATGCGTCACTTGCCATTGTTCGAAGACTTACCAAAGAGGAAAAGCTTCACATATCATTACAGAAGGACATCTCTGGTGAAGAAGCATCTGGTCGTGTTGATTATGCGATCAAGGGAAAGGAAGACCTCATGTGTATCGCAGAAGGAAAACCTCGTAACATCAAAATCGGATATTTACAAGTATGACTTCATATTTTACATAACTAATCATTCTCGTATTTATTCTACACTTAATTAACTTCTTTATGGTTATTTCGATAGAATATCATCCAACTCGAGAGTGCATATCATACAAATAAGAAAAAAAGGACTGCTGAACAAGCTTTTGGGAATGATGACTACGACTACCTCTACGGAATTGTATCCACGGGTATGGATTGGCATTTTCTTGTTTTCACCACTGATGGTCTTTATTGCACCAGTGAGAGCGAATATCAAATCAATCTCTCGAAGACGGCTCTCAAAGAGGATCTTGAATCGATCCGAAAAGGAGTAAAACGAGTGTTAGGTGTTATTGTTGGTTTATTAAAAGATAGAATAACGGTCGATAACTCTCCAACCAGTAAGAGAGCTAGGATAAAAAAAATTACCAAAAAATAGAGGGTAGAAAGATTTCCCGCTTCACATGTATTTTTTATTGTATCAATAAAGCAATCAGACCTAAATGGTCTTTTTTCCGATAATTTATTTTTGGGTGTGTGATACTTTGATTTTGCATATTAATGTAACCTAATTTTCAGATACAGTTCCAATATTGAGTTTAGTAGGAGCGTTTTCATTTTGGATCGTCATTCCAAGATGGGCAATTCCGAGATGGACAATTCCGAGATTTATAATTTGATGAGCAAAATTCTGTTAATGGACAGACTCTCAGCTACAAGGTGCTAGAATGTCTGCTAATATCTCATTTCTCGAAGCCCTTGCATTAAATATTCTAAAAAATTCATTCTCTGAAAAGATTGCAGAAGGCGTCAGTATTCCGGAACTAGATCCATGCTCGTTATGTAACCATGAACTTTTTTTGTATGAAATAAAAAACCCGATTACCATACTCACCTGTGGCCATGCATATCATCGTGGTTGCATCGAAACTTCTATCAAAAAACATTCAATATGTCCAAGACCTAATTGCAAAAAAGAGGTAGAATCTATGGTTGATGCTACGTCTGGAAGTCAGAATACCAACGATTTGATGGATATATCCCCGACGTTATTTAACGACCCCATATTTTCACCTAAAAAGCGTGTTGGTGAATCTACTAGTAAATTAATCAGTAAGAAAGCGAAGAAACAAGTTTCAAAGGAAGAATCCCCTTTATTAAAAAAACTTATTGAGGAATTGACATCAACGATACCTGAAAATTTTGAAAAAGTAATAGAAGTCAATGAAAGCACCAATAATTTCTTATACCACTATAGCAAAATTACGCAGGCTGAATCTAAAAATGAAATAGCAAATAGAGATGTAATTGAATGTTACTTTAACCTTGGTGTAGTTTTAAAAAAACGATTTGATCATTACAAAAATATGAATCATGGGGAACGTGCGTGTTTAGCATTGGTTAACGATGAAATCCGAAAACAACTTCCCAATAATATCACCAATGATGCATTGAAAAAAAGAAAGGAAAGATCAGGAAAAATATATGAATTATTTGTTAGTATTGGTAAAGAGAAAATAGGAGGTATTAGATCATTTTCGGCGTCAAACATTTCAAACTTAAGTCAAGAAAATATTGATTATGTGATAGTCGAAGTTTTAAGAAAAGATGGTAAAATTTGATCTACTGCGCCACATTACTGCGCCAGTGACATGGATGTCACGTCTGATAAAAATCAAGTAATTATTACGTATTAACCAGAGGCTAATAAAATTATTATTATCATTTCATGCTTCGATAATTGTACGATTTGATCCACTAATGTAAATATATCAGAGATTTTCGTATGCATGTTCATATCCAATCGGATAAATACGTACCTGATTAACGTTCAATCAATTTCTACTCCCACGCTTCTTTTTTTCTGTTCTGCAAAAGTAACGCTATTCGATTTGAGTAGGACCATCGGCTCTAGGAATTTTTTATTTCTAACGGCTCATTGGATAGCGTGGCTTTTGGTTTTTTTCTCCGCATATTAGTTAATACACCGAGAAGTTTTTTTCTCTACACGAATCGAAATCTCACCCGAACTGGACATAAACTAGTCTTTAAAATGAATGCGTCTAAAGGTGAGGGGTGGTCGACACATTCACAATAATAAATAGTTATTTACCTTTTATGTCGATTGTAGTGGTTACGAAGACCTCGAAACAAAATCAGCGTAAAAAATTACGACGTTATGCAGAATTCCGAAAACAAGCCGTTATGACGACGAACGAGAGAATAACATCTAATAATGAGGACATCGACACATTAGTTCCGGAAATTTTCTACCAGCCGGAAAAAGTAAGTAAAAGGGTGTGTAAGTGGGAGGTGTAATCGAGAAATATGTATAAAGAGGCTTGAAAATAGGGGTAATCATGGTCTTTAAGACAGGTCTAGGGGCCGATTTCACCCTCCCTTACCAAGCTTACTTTACCTTTATTCGTTGGGTTGTAATCGACAAACTATTATTATCGCCACTTGCGAGGAGAGAAATTACACGCAGGGTTTCCGCGATTTTATAATCACTAAGCTGTGAGATAAGAAATAGTTTGCATGTATTCACCCTATATTGTAAGAAATTTAACGAAGCAAGCACAAGGTGCTAAAACTTTTAACGTACCCATATTATCAATAGTCTAACACGGCTTTATTTTCACATAGCATAGAAATCAACCTAAGACTCGCAAGATGACCACAGAAGAGATTCGAAATTATATTTTGCTTGAATGGATTTCGGAGGATTTTCTACCGAGCGATCTTAAACCAAGTAACCTCCGGCATTCTTCAATCTACACAGATCCTCGCTTCACCTTTCAGGAAAAATTTTTAGAAAAGAGGTGTCAAAGATTAGTTGTTCGGGAGATGCTTAACCAGAAGTTACTTCCTCCAAATAGCGTAAAACCTGGCACCTTTACTCTTAATCTCAATACACTTTCTAGCGATTATCTCAATATAGTTTCGGATGTAATTCAAAAGAATTTATATGAAGGGGAGTTTAACGATAACAAAAAATCCTTACCACCACAAAGTATCCAGCAAATTCTAACTTCCTCCGAAATACCAACAAATTTTATGGAATTGCTAGAGTCGGAAGTTTTCAATCGTACCAGTTTAGATACAGAGTATCCTACTTTGCAGAAGAATCCTTTAGCATTAGTGGAATCTCCTATGGAGAAATTATTATGGAAAAATTTCGCTCTTTGGGGGTGTTTCGTAATTGGTCCTAATTTTATTCAACAACTCCGTCGCCATTGCCGTCACCTTTGATTTCGGGTGAATCTTATCTATCGACACGTTGAAGCACAAGATAAATCGCTAGAAAGATATATACACGAAACATTTTTACGGCATCCGAGTGATAAACTCTATATTGCCAAAGAATCTACTACAACTGTTGCAAGGGGTACTAATCTTAAGGGTTATCAACATATTTTTAACCCGCAATGCATTGTGAATACTTTCGGAGAAACCATAGTGGATCTTTTCAATTTTTATAATCAAATAGTCATAGAGAATGTTAGAATGGTGGTGGATCAATACTATCAACACACTCTCACTCACCCTTCACACCAATCAAAACAATTCGCAAAGGACTTGATTGAACATTTTGGTAGTTTTGCAGATAGTAATAACTTACCATATACCACTGCAAACACCGCATCCTCCCATTGCGAAGAACATCAAAAATGCGTTCGAAATTTACTACAAGGATTACAACCGATTTCTGGGGCTGTTAATAAATATCTTAAAACCACATATCCGATTTTATATTCCAAGATGGAGAAGCTTGATCTTGGGTCGAATGTTCCTAAATCCTTCGGTGTTTTTCCCACGGTTGCTATTAATTTTAATATCATTTGCCAATTCCACCGAGATTTAAAGGACCATCGTAACACTCTCTGTGTTGTGTGCCCGCTTGGGAATTTCGAAGGTGGAGAGTTGGCATTTCCGGAATTAAAATTAATCGTCCATGTTAAACAAGGTCAAGCCGTGGCATTCAGATCGAACTTGTTAGTTCATGGAAATCTCCCAGTTATTGCCGGAATTTGCCACAGCGTCGTTTTTTATATCCACAGTACGGTAATTAAACAAAAACGAAAGTTTGGCTCTCTTTTCGCCGATTACGACTTGGACTGGGATAGCAATGAGGATGAGCCATTACCAAAATATCTTCCACCAACACTAGGTTCTGGAGATGAGGTGAAACTAAAAAATCATAGGCGAATGAATGTAGGTATGTATAGGCGAGATAAAGCTTATATCTACGTATAGTCAAGAACTGATATTTATATTTCCCATTCATAGATTTGGAACGCGCAAGAAAAGGCTTACCAGCACGGTATAAGAAATAACGTGGTTTTTATTTACGATTTATTTTCCGTATTACTATACCTTGTATATATCATGTAAATATATCAGATAATCACTGGTTAAATAAAGGGATTTTCATATGTAAATATATCAGCGAATAAACCACAAAAAAGTTCACCCAAAATCACGTATTTATTTATTTGAATGTGATTGGTCGAAATTGAAAATGGATTATGATATTTTTTCAGAATAATATACAAATGTTTAGAAAATTAAGAACAGGTGCAACTCAATTATCACCCGAAGCAATTACGTATATACATGTACGTATTTCGGGTAGTTCATGTTTACAAAATTGGGATTAGCGAAGTTTTTGCTTTGAATACAGTATTGTAAAAAAATTGAAATCAACAAAACCAAATAGTAAACTCATTCGTTTAAATTTATATTTTGTTTATCAAATATAGAATAATGAATAAAATACTACTATTCAAGTATTGTACAAGATAAGCATTCAGTAGAGTTGATACTTTTAAAAAAATTAGTTAACACCTCGCTTTTATAATTGCTTGTATGATTGTTGCTTGTATAATTGCTCGTATAATTGCTCGTACAGGGTAATTTATCTGCTCTAATAAATTGTTGTGTAATCTCATCGAAGGGTTCTCCATAGCTTGAGAAGGTATTTAGATTATTCCACCATTTATAAATTGTCTCACCCAATTTCTTTGTAGTTGGTCGTTTGTCTGGATCAGCATCAAGACATTGCATTGTTAAATTCCTGTAACACTGAGGTGTTCCTTCTGCAATTGTGGGGCGTAGACCATGACTTATAATTTGGTGTGCAAGATCAATTTTACATTTTTGATCTGGATAGGGTACTTCACCAGTTGACAGTTCACACATAATTATACCAAAACTATAAATATCAGCAGCAGGTGTGTAGGGTTGATTCCTAAGAACCTCTGGCGCCATATATTCAAGGACTCCATAGATATCAGATGATGTCGCATTTGCAGGACAAGAGAGTCCAAGGTCTGCGATGAGTGCATGGCGTACATGGCGTACTGCTTTATATGTAGTCACCAACACGTTTCCACAGTGGAGATCACGGTGAACAATTCCTGCTTCGTGAATTGTTCCTAAACCGACTATGCAACGCTGTAGAAAATATAGTTTGTCTTTCCAAGCCATGTGGCGGAAGTTGTTTTTCAGAAAACTTCGCAAGTCGCCATTATTAGCATATTCCATCACTATAATATATTCTTTTGTCTCTGGATCTTGTGTCATTCCAATGATCTTAATACATCCGGCATCATCACACTTCCAATGTGTTTTGATCTGTAAATGAAATATGTTAGTTCATCGTTATATTTATTACATATTACAAACACTCAATTCACCTCATCCAAGAATTTTTTTGACATGCTTTGCGAATCTATAAGTCTTTTCAATGCAACTGTCTTTTTTTCTTCTTTGTATTTGTTATGATCCCAAATTGTATGATCCAGCCAGTCAGCCTTGTAGACAATTGCAAAGCCACCCTTTCCGATCTGCTGAATGTCTTTTAAGCGTTCATAAGGAATCCATTTTAAATATACGTCTGAACTTCTCCGAGGTTTTGTATTTAGTTGAGTTTCTCGAATAACATCATCTAGGTCCTTAATTCCACTTGTCCAGTTATTGGTAACTTCCTTATGTTTGCAGTTTATACAATAGACAAAATCCAATCTCCTCAAGCCACATTTAGGACAATTACCATAAACACGCGATCTTATTTCATTTTCACTAATATCAAGGGTTTTTTGAGTTCTCGTAGATAAAGATGAACTACTTGATTGAGATGCGACGTTTATTGATGAGAGCCGTGATGCATCACTTGTTGTTGATGAGAGCCGTGAGCCTCGAGATGCATTTGTTGTTGATGAGAGTTGTAGCTGAGATGTGATGTTCCTTGTCGTTAAGAGTTGTGAGCCTTGGGAGGAGGAATGTGCTTTTTTTGTTTAAACATGTATTTTAATTATTAGTTTATTATCTGAAGGAGAATTTTACATCTTTGACGGGAAAACAAATAAAAGTTATTATTGTATTAGTTATCTATTTATATCGCATATACATACCTTGGAGACTAATTTTCAAATCCCTGAGAGAATTCATCAATTTGTTTATGTGGAAAGGTTTCACCCCTATTTCTTTAAGGGTCTCTCTCATTTCTTTTGATGGCGTCTTAATGAAATCCTCAATACTATTATCATTTGCCCCAGCATCAAGAAACTGCTGCTGATATTGCTCCAGATCATTCGATAAGAGGAATTGATTAAGAGACGGGTTCTTTTTTAGCGAAGCTGACATAGTATGTTGCCCAAGTGAGAAAGATTATTAGATGAATTTTTTTTTGCCAACTTTATGAGGGCTCCTGAATACATTATAAGGGATGTTCGTCGTGATTGATGTGATATCTACTAAGTTTACTAGTATTAAAATGACAACAGTGACAGTTACACATGTTCTTTTAGGAAATTGTATTATTAAGTACAGTCACGACAAAAAGTGTTGCACGATTTACATAAAAAACGAATAAAAAAATTTTTATACATGAAAATTTTTTCCTTATTTATTCCGATTTTCATATTTATTACTAT